TGACAATAAATGCTTTTGTTCTAAGGGAGGTATGTGAAGAGTCGTTATCGTGAAGCAGCATGATTCCCCGAAGCCCGTTCTTTGGTCTTCTCTTCCGCACAGCTTGAAAAGCTTTTAGGTAATGCAACTGTAGTATACCATTCAGAGTTGACTAGCCTACAATTTTCCAGCATTGGCGTCGACAAATGTCTGCTCCGCGAAAAAAAACTAGCCACCATTTTTATACCGACGTTGCGAGGTCTTAGCAGTTTTGTCGGTAACTGTCCTTCTGAGTAGACCCATACCGATGATTGCCTTTTATTTTCCGGATCATATTCATATATCCGGAAAATATTGGGGGAGGCCTATGTTCAGCAGTTTGGGGGCGGCCTATGTTCAGCAGTAGACTTATAAAAGGCTGTAATGATGATGATGATGATTCACAATTATATCCGTGTCTCGTCTCACTAGCAACAATTTCTGAAACACGCCTTGATGTCCCGTTTTCGAAACGTAGACGCATTTCATGGCACCAATCCACACGAATCTGTTTCTCGCTTTCGTAGAGCAAACGAGGGATCCAACGACAACAAAGATGTTGATGTAGGATGGTATGAATGCTCCCCGAACTAATGCCTACAATCTTTTTGATGTCCGTATATGTGATTCGTGGGTCTTCTCGCACCATACATTTTCTGCCGTTACTGCTGTTTGCGAGGCCCCGGTTCTTTGATCATCTTTAAGATTAATTTTACCCCTTTTGAATTCATCAAACCATCTAAAAATTGAGAGTCCCCTAATGCTGATTGTAACCGTTGTAAACTTAATTGTTCGGTTAAACCAAATTTAAAATCATAATATATCATAGCGCGCAAATGTTCTCGGTTAAGATCCATCGTTTTAAATGAAAAGCGCGGGAAGCGTTGTAGCAAGATTAATAGAAATATGTTTTTTTTTAATATTGAACAATTGGCTTATGGAGTTCTATTTTTAAATAAATTTGCTTTTTAGAAACATATAACACGGGTGCGTTCCATTTTTAAATTTCGAGCATTTCAAAACTTATTGAGTGACCTGCGTATAAGTTGCTAAGATTGACATCATTTTTTTTTTATTTTATTAAAAATACAAACACTTCTGCACTACTTATTTCCAGTTATTTGTTTTGGATAGGTAAAACATTTGGAAAAAGAGAGTGACATAGGCAAGTGTTATTTATATATATATATATATATATATATTATGTACGTGTGTTTGTCAGTAAACACCTCCTAAACGGCTAGACTGATTTAGATGAAAATTTTTGTATATTTGTGGGTCCCTGGATGGTTTAGGTTCACATTTGGGCAGAAATCAACCGTGCGAAGTCGACGCGGGTTGCTGTTATTCTATATAATTAAAATATAGGTAATACCGTTAAAAAACTAAATAATGCTCTACATTTCGCACTCTTTAGTTTAAACAAAAACAAGTTAATATAGTACAATTAGATCTTGTAATTTAATTATGTTAAATGAATATATAAAATGAATGAATTTAGCTTTCTCATATTTACACAATATATTTGTTTTGTCTAGAGGCCGTTTCATAGTTTTTACGTGGTAGAGCCATGCTGCCGCTATATTACTTGTATGTATAATCACGAATGGGTCAGTTCGACCGGATAAGGACCACGCTCACACAGAATACCAGCGTAAAACAGTAGCTTAACGCTGCTGTGTTTCGTATGGTGAGTGTAGAGAACCGGAGACCCTTTTTACTGAAAACGGGGCATTCAGTCTTAGTCCTCATGGGTGACAAAGCATTTGCATTTTGAGAAACAGAAACAGAAACTTTTTGATTCAATATAGATTATAAATAATACGCATTTAAAGTCACTCTTTTGTTTAATTACCACTGGTTCCAAAAAAACTCTGTTCTGGGAAGAATCAGCTAGAAACCCAGCGGGACTTTTTTTTAAATAACAGCTTACAATCATGTATGTTACACAATTAACAACACAAAAAATTAGAAATAGCTTGGTAGCGATCACCTCATTTCCAGGGGTTATTGTCATATCCATAAATTCCATAATATTAAGGTACGTGAAGGTAATATGGTCACCTTAAGCTTTACTGCCTTATAAAACCAAAATTAGGAGGACAGAGACAAATATACAATGTCGTATACTATAACTAATATAGAAAAAAAATAACAAACAAGCCTTGGCAATGATTAGCAACACTTCGAAAAATCAACTTAAAAAGCAACTAACTATAGTACGTGAGATATGGTCATCTGGTTAATATGGTCACTTATAACTCAAAAACTACAGCGCCGTTTGCATAGAACGCTCTGTGATACGATAGCTCTTGAGCAGTCTATCAAATAATAAAAGGTCAAAAAGGCGCTTCTTTATCGACGCTATTTTGACAGTTGATATTATTGTAAATATTTTAATCGATTTTTGAGATTGTGTGGTGTAGTTAGTTTTTTTAAATAGATTTTTCGAAATGTTCCTAGTTATTTCCAAAGCTTGTTTGCTATTTTTTTCTTAACATATTAGTTACACTATACGACTTTGTGATTTTGTCTCTGTTCTCCTCCTAATTTTGGTTTTATAGGGCGATAAAGCTTAAGGTGAGCATATTACCCTCACGTACTTACTATAATATCAACTGTCAAAATGGCGTCGATAAAGCGGCGGCCTTTTGAACTTTTATTATTTGAATGCCTAATGAAGAGCTATCGTATCACAAAGCCATCTATGCAAATTAGGGCTGTAGTTTTTCAGTTATACGAAAGTGACCTTATTAACCGGATGACCATATTACCCTCACGTACTCTATAATATAATAACCCATTTTATACAAACTTAGTTTAATGAAGTTTTTGAATTTGAGCAGGTCGAATTTTGTATATTTTCCGGAATTTTGTTGTAAAAGCGTATACATCGCCCTAAGCATGAATTACTGACGCGATGGAGTCGAGTAACTGGTACTACTAGCTTGTGTCTGTTCCTAGTATTTACAGAATGAATATCACTTATTTTTGTAAAAATACTTTTATTTTTGTGTAGGTACATTACATTTTCATAAATGTATTGAGAGGCCAAAGTTAATATAAGTATTAATTTCCTTAAATTTTTGTCGCAGCGACTCTTTAGGCTTTAAATCATAAATTGCTTTTATGGCCTTCTTCTGTAAAACAAATATAATTTCAGTATCAGCTGCGTGTCCCCATAGCAAAATACCATACGACATTATGCTATGGAAATAGCTAAAGTAAACTAGTCTAACTGTTTCAACACTGATAAAGTTTTTAATCTCTTTAACAGCATATGCTGCAGAATTAAGTCTGCGTGCTAGTTTTGATATATGGGGGCTCCATTGAAGCTTCGCGTCTAGTGTGATTCCAAGAAAAATGGTGGTATCTACAAATCAGTTTCTTCCCATTTAAAATTACATTAGTGTTTAATTGTACAAGAAACAGAAATGGGCCGAGAATTAAGCCTTGAGATACGCCTATTTGTACCATCCACCCTGAAGAGCTCATACTGTTAATAACAACTTTTTGTGTTCTGTTACTTAAATATGAAATAATTAATTTAAGAGCATCACTTTTTACACCGTAGTGTAGAAGTTTTCTGATTAATGTTTCATGGTGAACACAATCGAAGGCCTTGGATAGGTCACAGAATATATCCAAAGCATCCTCTGAATTCTCCCATGCATCAAATGTATATTTAATCAGCTCAACACCGGCATCAGTTGTCGAGAAACCCCTTGTGAAACCAAATCGATTTTTTGAACTAAATTGTTTATATTAAAGAAATTTTTACATTTGATCAAGAATAACTTTTTCAAAAATCTTACTAAGTGTTGGTAGTACAGAAATAGGTCTATAATTGGTGGGGTCTAATGTACTACCAGATTTAAATAAAGGTATTAGAGGATAGATGTAGATGTCTATAGGCCACAGCAACCACCTACCATCAGGTGGACTGTGTGCTCGTTTGTCACCCTTATCCTATATAAAGAAAATAGTTATTGTAGGATCCTATAAGTGACACTGCAGTCACGTTACTACCAAGTTCTATAATGGACAAAATGACTCACATTATATAATATTGCTTTAGAGGCAAAAAAGAAAAGAAAACGAAAAGAGCCTACTCCTTTTTAAAAGGCCGGCAACGCATCTGCAATTCCTCTGGTGTTGCAGTTGTTCTTGGGCGGCGGTAATCACTTACCATCAGGTGAGCCGCATCCTCGTTTGCCCCCTCTCCTATAAAAAAAGCACAATAGCTAGACCCCCTAACTGGTGCTGAGATGGAGTTATATATTTCCACAAATTTACGGCGTAAACGTGTTATTATCAAATCTCTAAGAAAACTAATTGTAACAAAAAGATATACACACTGACAGACAACGAGGTGATTGCAGATATTGACATGAAAAAAAACAACAAATTATGTTTGTAAAGCGAAGTCCAAGCGAGTAAAGCCGCGGGAAAAGCTTATATCTAGGTACTATAAACAGTAAAAGCTAAACAGAAAATGATTTTTTTATCAAAGCATTTGTATCTATCTACGTCTCTCACAGCACCCAGAAGTTTTGAAAATAATTCCATTGCATTCGATTGTGTCTTATTTTGATCAAAGATCATTGTGAATGAGTACGTTATTTTCTAACACAACATTTTAGTCAGAGTTAAAAAATATTATTCCACATTTACTTAATTCTTTTGTAATAATATCGTGCCAAAAGGAGATCACGAACCTGCTCAATATCACCCAGCGTTGCTATCTAATGTACTTGCCTCAATCACTTGCCTTGAAAAGCTCTCTACGTGAAATCTCTAATAAATTTTTTTGTTACGGAGCTTTTGTGAATATTGTTGTTTCGTTGCATATATACAATTGCATATATTACGGGATAATGGAAACACATTTTACTTCCTCGAAACTGTGTTTGATATCTGTGGAGCTCTATAATCCAAAAAAAACCCTACAGGCCTAAGCTCGTACGCAGGAAAATTTTCGCATGCCAGCGGCAGGTGGAGGCGGCGCGGGCGGTTTGCTTGTCCATCAGTTCAGTTGGATGGACAGTCGGGTGCGACGCGCGGTGGTGTACGGTTCTGTTATTTGTGAGTGCAGTGATCGGTCCGTGTGTGAATGTCCAATGTTTCCATGCAAGGTGCGGGGGCGGTGGGACCGGTCGACGGTCGCACGCCCGACCCGCCGACCTTACGTACCGTTCACTGTACGCAACACGACTATCGTGTCTCTGAGTGCATCCCAGGATCGAAAATGCAAAAGATAAAAACAACACTTGTGCTATAATTTCGCAAGAACTTATTATCTGTGAAACGGACAATAACATAGATGCATCTGTTTTTCAAATTTGGACATTGCTTTCGGAGTTATATTTATTATGTACGTTCTCTTTATTTAGATCTTTATATTATCTACATTATACAATGTACATAATACAAAATTATTAAAATGTAAAGGTTAACAATTTTTGTTTTCATGATATTTTTAAATAACCTATATATTTGCTATATCCTATGACTGGATTACCGAATAATCCTCATAAATGATATAACTTTTAAAGGAATTTAACGTGAATATAATAATAATTAAGAACGTAGAGATTAACAAAACGTCTTATTTATGAATAAATTAGAACAATATTAAATGAAATAGTCTATGAATTTTTGTGTAGATAGTCAAATGCCGTGATTATTATGAGCCCTAAACACGTTGCTATGTATTCAACCTTGTACACTTGAGGAATAGTAAGAGTGGATAAAGCATGTCGCAATTTATGTGTAATTTATAAAACCATTATTTGTCTTAAAAATAGATTTAAATTCTGGCTCAACTGCACAAAATATAAATTCCATTTGAAAGGTTAAACTTTAACGAGGGTCTTATTTTAATAAGTCTAGTCTTATAATATTACATTGCGGAAATATATTACGTACTACTTTTAGAAATTTTAGTTTTTGATTATACTTGAAATAACACTTGCCTACTTAAAACACGTTTTGATGTAAACTTTTACGACGATCGAATAGTTTAAAACGATCTATAGTTTTTAATATAATATATTAAGATTAAATAATGGATATATTATTAAATATAAGATTTAATAATATATCCACTTTTAATCCACTTTTAATTTAAATCTAATTCGTTATTGGTTTGTTCTTATTTTTTTAAGGTAATGTCTGCGTACGGTTATACTTTTGCCAGTGTAAAGTAATGTGATTAGATATTATCTATCTAATCTGATGCATCACATTTGCATTACTTTTCATAAGTATCAAAACAACTATTTATACGATAAAACAGAAGCAACAATCTGCCAGCGGCGGTCATGTTCCCGCCAAAACTCCCATAAAAATGTTAACGAAGTTATTCAATATACAAAACAGTAAGCGATGCCTCATCAATTTTAAGTTAAAGGCTAGCCAAATATCAATATTCCATAATGTAAAACTATGTCGGTTACTCAAAATATTAAAGATAATTAAAATAAGCAAAAATAAAAAATAAAATGTTAAAGATAATAATTTTCAATCCGCTCTATTATAATTAATATACATGTATCGATACACTTTATGGCTTAATATCGATAAGATTGTAATATCATATGCGCCTAATCGATATTTCTTTTTTTATAGTCCAATAATATATTGTAGTGACCTTTACGAAGTGTCTAATGGTCCGGTAACAGTATGTACCAATAATTATATTTTATTTATCCAGCCATAAGGATTTTGCCGGCTACAACCAGGTGGAGCCGATTGTGGTTGGTTAAACTTAGATATGTTAACTTTATTTATAGTTAAAAGTTGTTTAAGCTGTTTGCTTTCCGCTAATAACAAGGAGTAATAAAGTCTGTTTAAATTATAATACTATGACTTCTGTTAACTTTTTGAAAAATACGAAAGCACCGCAGGTTTTTTACATTCCTTACTAAATTCATTGTCACTTAATTTTAGTAATATAAGTAACTTTAAGGTGATTTTAATTCAGAATTTTCTTTAATACTAGTAACACTTGCATTTAATAACTCAAAACAAAAATGGTGCCTTCGTAAAACATTACAAAATGCAGTTGTAACGACAATCTCTCTTTTTGTCTTTTAATAAAAAAGAAATTACTTTGCGAAAATTATAGTGCCACCAATTTTACTGTTCAGTTGACAGAGTCGCTAGTGGAGAGCTTACTATTGTCACTTTAAAAATTTACCGCGTAAATAGGTGACTAAATATGCATAACATATTAGTATAGAACTATGAACTTACAACTTACCTATCTTCATAATTGTTCGTCATACATAATTATTATACATATTTAACAGTTCATCATCATTTCAACTCAACTCATTGCCGGCTGACTACTGAGCACAAGAGGGTTTAGAGTTTAGACTATAGTCTGCCACATTGGCCAAGTGCGAATTTGAGATCATTTCGAAGAACTCTCGGGCATGCAAATTTCCTCACGATGTTTTCCTTCGCCATTTAACAGTTAAAGAATAATAACTAAGAAATAAAACAAATTTGGTGTTATTATTATATATTTTATTTATGTTTTAAGAGAGTAATTGTTGTCATGATCTCGGAGTTCAAGCGGCCGAACTCCAGGAATGCTTGTTGTGAAAGATGTGTCCGCTAAATGTTTCAGAATTACATTATTTGGTGATTTCAATTTTCCATATCTGGCAATTCTAACCTATAACTATGAAATCAAAAGCACTCACCTGATAGCGAAATGTCATTTTAAAATGGCGGCCCTAGTTCCAATTTTGTCCAACTAAATAGATAAGTTGGTGGCGGTATAAAATATTTTCGCAATCATTTATTATATATTAAAATTGTAGTGTCACTAAGATAATAATAAATGAATTGTTCAAAAATTAAGAAAAGATCAAACATAATATAAATTATCAATTTAATTATTTATAATTCCGTATATTTTAATTTTATGTCTCTGATTCTCCATTATAACCTTAGACCCTAAGATTCTAACCATTAATCTATGATTATGATAAAAATAAAACATTATTAGATATTGTTCCGTCCTAAGTTTAACAAAACGAAACACATATGGAATGAATTATTTTATTACATGATTATTTTTATTAGATGATTGAAATTTGATTTGATAGGGTTATGAAATACAGTTATCCTAATACAGCTACAAAGTTAAAACATCAAATTCAACGTATGAGGTAAATTTTAAGATCATCTTGTTACATCATCCATTAAAATCTTGAAGCACACTTGATAATTTACTACTTTTTGTTGTATTGTTTTATTATTTTTAGTATCAAATTAAGGAACAATCAAAATAAAAAACATGCGTAAGTGTCGTGGAACACTCGGTTGGTTCCTTATTATTGATAGACGTATTATATTATTGATTAACAAATACAAATAAATGTATTACTAGCATCTATTAAAATGAAGCGTCATTTAAAATAAAATACCTACACTACGACAAAAAGGGGTAGTGACGAAAATATTTTACGCTTTTTGTCGCCTAGTTCCCATCCGCCAAAACCCGTACCGTCCGATAAGGAACTTCATTCCAAAACTTTGTTCCAAAAGTCAGACCTTATAAAACTGCGGTAGTATTAAATTTATGGAGGAATATAATAACTACCTATAAAATATTTCACTTATGGAAGCAATACGTACCTACTTACGTTAGCTTTTCCTTGAAGAGTTATATGTACTTATTTAGAATCTCTTCCTAGTTCCTAGACACTATATCAAAGTAAAAATGGAATGGTTTATTTGGTATATGCAATATAACAAAAAAAACTGCAGCAGCATTAAGCCGCTATTTTACGCTGGTATTCTGTGAGGGCGTGGTCCTACCCCGGTCTAGCCGACCCATTCGTGCTACAACCCTACTCGTAAAATAACTGCAGCGTGGCTCTACCACATATAAGAGAAACCATTATTCAGTAGATACTGTTTTATAAGATCGATCACATAAGTTTAGAAGATGTATTATAAAAAGATGTATGTCATAGGTAGAAACAAGCAACAGTTGTCTTTACCAAGACTTGCTAACTAAAATTTCAGTAGTGTTAAATATACAACATACCAAATGATTGATGATTGATAATTGATATATTGATAAAAAAATATTACAGTTAAAGTAAAAGTAATGACTTTTTATATTTACGCAAACACTAAACATTGAATTCATTGAGTCCCCGGTGGCCCGTGACGAAACGTCGAGAATTAAAAACAAGTGAAATTAAATGCTATAAAATCCTTAAAAATAGTTTTATTTAATGAAAAAGTAGTTAATAAATAGACGTAAATAGATCTTACTGTCAACATTTAAATGAAATGTAGATACTATGGCCCAGCCTTATGACCTATAAAACTATAAAATCGTCTGCAAAACAATTTAAGAAATCTTGACCACATTAAAGTTTATATTTATAAAGGGTGGTCTTAACGTATTCTGACAATAAATATTTGCCACATAAAAGAAAAAAAGCTAGGTACCCCTCTTACATTATTCTCGCTTGCGACAAAAAATTATATAAGCACCAAAAACACTCGATACCCATAAACTAAGTACCAAAACCTTAGGGGATCATCTTTGTAAAGCCGCAGATCCGTGTGATTGGTTAGAACCTTTATTCGCGTTACCAATGGGAAGCAAAGGATAAAGTTTCGCCCATCAATGGACAGATGCGCTAACGGTGCATTGTATTATCTGTATTTACCAACGTTATGCCGTCTTGTTATAAAAATAAAGGCAAAAATGATTATATTGGTTTTCGTGATTATTTAAGCATTGCAGGTAGACAAAAATATGAATTAGGTAGTTCATTCAATTCAGTATTACCTACCTGTTATGCAAAAATATTTAACAGACAAAATACTATCATTATGAAGATTAAAGAACGATTATTATATTCATTCATGCGATATTTTTATTGCAGGTTGGCATGTACCAGTGGGGACGCCAGGCATCGGGGAGGGCAGCAGTGGGAGTAGCATGGCGGAGGCGGCGTCCTTAAGTCATAGTCCAAGATTCCTGCGCAAAAAGCGTCGACTCTCGCGGTTACTGGACAAGCTGGCAGTCCAACTGCAGAATAATAATCACTATCCGCTCCCACCCTGGCTCATGCTCGAACCTCCTTATTTCGAACCGAAGGCGCCGGAAGAGGCTCCGCTTGATCTCTCCGTGAAATCAGAGACACCGAAAATAGAACGAAAGGAACCGGCCGGCTACAACTGCGAGACTTGCGGCCAGACGTTCGCTGTTCACGACCGCCTTGCTAAGCACGTTGCTTCTCGTCACCGTGACAAAACACCCGAAGCTGCCCGCGCATATGAGTGCGAGATTTGCCGCCGGCGTTTCGCCCGCTCCGATATGCTGACGCGCCACGCCCGTTTACACAGCGGCATTAAGCCGTACTCTTGTTCAGCTTGCGGACAGGTGTTCTCACGCTCGGACCACCTGGCGACTCATCAACGCACTCACACAGGTGAGAAGCCCTATCGTTGCCCTGCTTGTCCCTACGCCGCCTGTCGCCGTGACATGATTACGCGTCACATGAGGACGCACTCACGTCGAGCGCCACCCACCGAAATCTAAAAGCAGAGTTAACTCTGGAGATTTTAATCACCGTGAAAAAAACGCCTATGCTTTTATAGAATCGCCTCTTCTTCAAGAGATAGATGTTAGTTTAGCTTATATTATATTATGATTTATTTAATTTACACTTAAACGTTGGATGTAATAAATGTAAGAGACTGAAGTTTTTCCATTCCAAAGTTAACTGCGACATATATTATAGTTAATTGGGTGTTTTTCTTTTTGCAAACTTAGGGTGACGCGGCCCTTCGAGGACTTCGCTTGTGTACTATTGGTAAGAACGACATATCTCATTGCAAATTCTGCAGAGCGGACGCGGTTGCGATTATTTTAGCTTTTAGCTGATATGCGAATAAAATTTTCAAATAAAGAATCATTTTAGAACAACCTGCTAAGCGCAATGTGATGTGTCTGTTAAATTGTTTGTTAAAAACGCAGTTTCAGCTTTTACTGAAATGTTATATTTTGTACATATATTTTGTACATATCGTTCCAATAAGGATCTATGCTATGCGCTTCTAATTATTGTTGTTCATGCTGGTAATAAAAAACTGTATTAGATGCATAGCACATGGTGTTAGTAGATATTGCAATTTTGTATTTTAAATGCATTGCAATGCATTTTAAAAACATATTTAAATTTAAAACATATTGTAATTAATTGACCAGTGTATTATTTTTATAAATTTAAAGTGTAAGAAAAAAAACTTAAGTAGGTAAATGTAATGTAGGTAGTAACTATGGTAGCCCAGTAAGAGTAATTCTCATTATGCCTGTTTATTCTATTGTATAATGTTTATACGTTAATTACCACCTACACTTTACAAAAATTTACTATTTGTAAATTAATTAAAAACCAAATTCTGTTATGAAAATATTTCGAACATAATAATTAAACATAATAATAATTCTTAAACATAATAATTATTACTGCTTTTTTTAATTTGTAAGAGATAGATGAAAGCTATATACTCATGAATTATTTTAAACTATTATAAGCCAGCGCTTGCTATCTCCTATCCGACCCGCTGATAAGTGGTGATGTAGACGAAGATGCTAAAACGCACTAAGGCACTTGTCCCACCGCCGACGAGGAAGCGATTAGCTATCGACTATTTTCTCGCTCAAGAAACGAACAATAGATATAGATCCCGTGTCAATAAAAGAAATACATATATTAATAGTAGAACGCGGCTGTTCACACTGTGGCGAGAACACCCTCTCCACTAGTTTGTAACAGCGACAAGAGCTATCAAAGATAAAGCTCGCTTAGCGATGCACGCTTGGCGGTCAGAACTCGCACCGAGAGACCAACCAGCGAGCATTATACTCTACAGTGCGGATCTGAGTGCACTCGTTTATAGCCCGTATCTGAGTGCTCTCGTTAATATATAGCCCAGCGACAAAACTATCGGAACTATAACCTCGCTTCTTGCTGCTCGCTAACTCTTATCTACTTTCTAGCTCTACTCGCTTCTCGTTCATCATTGGCGGTGGGACTAGTGCCTAATTTAGCTTAACAAAAGCCTATTCTCCCTTGCGTTAAAGACACCGGTGTAATCGGATGTAAAGGCAGATGCTAGCAAATTATTCTATTTCTTTGCTCTACGCATGACGAAAGACGAAGCAAACCGTTTGGTTCAAATGCATGGTATGTCGACAAAAAGGGAGTGAAGTCTGGCCGAGCGTCTGGTTTTCCGATAGTGGAAGTAATTCAATCATGCAATTCACGCACACGTTCACAGAAATATGTTCGCGAAACGGAAAGGTTGGTTACTTCGCGCCTGTTGACTTGTAAGATTAGCTTTATTCAGATTCAGGTCACCAATAATCCTCTTAGCACGCCTTCTATTGAGTCCAAAACTGCTAGGTGGCATTATGCAGCACCAGCCCATATAAGACAGTAATACTCCTTGCATGATTGGACTTACTTGACTTGACTTTATAAAGTGTAAGCAGCTGTCCCAACGTGGAGTACCACCGCGCCTTAGCAAGCCACTGCAGCCGCTTTAACTTTGACTGAAGGCGGTCGTTATAATCCAAAGATACATTTCGGAAAGAAGGGGCTAGGGTGAGCTGTTTCAATTTTGCAGTGAAGATACATACCTACTTGTCCTTTGGAGGCGTTGAATTTGACAAGAATAGGATCACTCCATTCAGAGATTGGCCGCAGTAAGCGATTTGAGCACTCAACCATAGTTTCTCTTTCGGGCGGGATTTTATCTCGACTGGCCCAAACACTCCGCTGATATTACCCACTACTGTGCTGTTATACTGCTCATGCCAAGCATAAGCAGGTCATTGATATAGAGCAAAAAGTAAGTGGCGGAGAGAGCAAAACCCTAAAGGAGCTCAGGCATTAGACGTCGCAGGCTCTTAAGAACAGCCTTCGACAACAACTCTGAGATCGTTCACTTATAAAGTCCTTCATGCAGCCAATCTGGCTATGGAATTAGTAATAACTTTACGCAGATTTTCTTTAATAACATAATGAATTAAATTAACGTGATTATTATGTGTTTTGCTAAAAATAATGTGAGGCAATTTTATGTACAATGTCTGTACAATATTTTTCATATTTACAAGAAAAATTTTGACAGTAGAATATTTCTGTGTGAAATATATATATATGCGATATTTAAGGATCCTAAGCATTACAAATGTATCATTGTATGCTTTAAATTTTACTATTATATTGCTAATGTTTTAAACTTTTTAATGACCACTTGCAACAAAATTACACGTATTATCATAAAAACGGCGGTGTGTTTTATATGCATAGATATAATATTAAAGTTTTTCAAAAATTTTAAAGTTAAGATTTTCTATTATTACGAAAACAGTCATAAAGATGTTTGATTGAAATTTTTTTTTAATGAAAACTGTTTAAAAGGAATTTTCTTTAGTATCAAAGTGTAATACTAATTCATACTTCGCTCCGGTTTAAATACAAAGGTAACTAACGATTACTTGTAAACAAAAGGCCGCTTTTTAATAAAAAAGTATTTTAAACACTTCGGTTGATTTCTGGTTTTAAAAATGCCGGAGTTTCTTTAGGTCTTCTGAAAAAAATAAACTTAAAGGTTTTCGTATAAAAATTCCCAAAAAGTTCACAACAATTGGTGCAGCCATTTCGGAGATTAACCCCAACAGATAGACAATTTTTTTTTAAATAGTTATTTATCCTTAAAATAAACCTCTGAGCTCAATAGAAGCCATTTATTTTAATGTTATCTTTTAGACATCAATTTTGTTTTAAGTATAGATTATTTATACTTGACATGAATTTATGTAGCAAAACTCTATACCTTATTCTCAAACTTTTTTTATAGAATAAGGGTGACGAACGAACATACCGTCCACCTTATGGTATAGATAGATGCTGTGGCTCATAGACATCTACATTTAGCTTCGATTAATAATCAAAATGCAGATACGCTGTCACCCCTGAGGACTACGATGGAATGCCTCTACACTCACATTAGTATCTATTCTTTACGTTGGTATTCTGTGAGAGCGTGGTCCTTCCCCAGTCGAGCTGACCCATTCATGCTACAATCATAAAATAGCTGCAGTGTGGCTCTACCACGTAAAGTTATTTACTCCTGAAAGAACCAATTTTAGATGTCTTAATAAATTATTCTTCTAAGAAGTAAATGAGTTTGTCTCAAAGATTTTATTACTGTTTTTGTATGACTACTTCCACTAGAGTTAAAGGAAGTTGCTTGGTCAATATGGATATAATATAAATTTGAATATGGAAATCAAAAATATATTCAACCTAGTATTTTTAAACTACTAAGTACTCAACCTATTTTGAATTTGTTTAAATCCATAATTCTATACATTTTACACTGCTCTGATGTGTACGTAATAGCTTTGTTTAAAAAATTGTATGTGTATTACAAATGAAAACATCAAAGTTACAGGATATATAATATATATGTCCCACGGATGGGCATATGCCTCCTCTTATTCGTCCTTTACAATAAGTAATATGATGTATTAAATAAATGACGGACATATTATACAAGTGCGAACAGATAAAACCTTAATTAATGTAATGAAATATGCTATTAATATTATTAAGAAGTTTCATAAAAATATAATTGTTAACCCATTTGACCGCAAGCAGTTTTACAAAATATTTTTAAATGTAATGATTATTGTGCTTTATATATTTATATAATGTTGTATACGATAACAATATGCAAGAATATTAATAATATATATTATAATTAATACATATTATATATTATTATAAATAATATATATTAAATTCCTAATTTCATAAATAAATTGTATCTTAAACATAACTGTGAATATTTTTGATAATGTTCAATATATCATAATATAATTATTATTTATTTGAATGACAATGTTTCATTCAAAATAGTACACATAATATGTTTCACTTGTAAGTTTCGTTGTGTGAATTTTAATCGAAATTTTAACTTAAAATCGACGCTTCTACAAATCGCATCATCAAACTAAAACAATTATGATTTATAATAAATACTTAAATAAAATACAAAAGGTCAAAAAGATTTGTATGTTTTAGCTCATATATAATAACTGTTTAATAATTTTTTTAAATTAATACTACACCCGCTTAATTTGTTCATATAATTTTTATATTAGATATATGAGCGGGTGTAGTATTAATTAAGATATATGAACTAAATTCACATAACGTAAGCTACCCTTCGTTTTCAATGTGTAAAATGTGAAATATGCATGCGATTATTTTCGTATCGGCCCCTGTCTAAAAGCTGTACGTACACTCACTGTCTACGGTTGAATTAAGAATTCTCATGTTTAGTTTAGTGATAAAATTGTCCTCGTTGAAAGGTTTTGATATAATGTCATTATATAATCAAAGTTGAAAGGGTTTGTCGGGTGCAAGTGTGTGTATTAGTACTCTATGGGTGTAACGTCTATTGACATATTTTACGTCTATAGTTGTAATCTGAATTATTTATAACTTAATTAATAAATGG